TATAGATATGTATATGGTGATGTTTTCGAATTAACATAGTCTTTGGTTTAATTCGTTGGTTTATATGGTTATTTTTTCTTATTACCATAGTCTTTGGTTCAATTTGGTGGTTTCTATGGTTATGTTTTCTAGTGAACATATTTTTTGGTTTAATTGGTGGTTTATCTGGTGATGTTCGCTTATTACCATAGACTTTGATTTAATTCGTTGGTTTCTATGATGATGTTTTCTGGACGTCGCTTCCCAATTGGTGGTTTATCTGGTGATGTTCTCTTATTACCATAGACTTTGGTTTAATTCGTTGGTTTCTATGATGATGTTTTCTGGACGTCGCTTCTCAGATTTTATGCGCGAGTTATCCCGCACATTATATCCATGTCCTCGCAATACCGTACATGCACTGATTACTTCGGCCTGGGTCTCGGGGCTCATATACTTCTTTCTTTGACCAAGGTCTCAGGGCTCATATACTGATTACTTTGACCAAAGTCTTGGGGTCCATATACTGATTACTTTGATCAAAGTCTCGGGGCTCATATACTTATTACTATGACAAAGGTTACGGGGCATTTGTAACGGTCTCTTTTTTTTGGCATGGGCAGCCATCCACTGCACTCCAGGGGGTGTGCTGTACAATTAATACAATAATTTTCAAATGGAAAGGTGTCAATGAGTTCACAAATGTGTATACACATATACAACGTGATTAACGTGTAGTGCGATCGAGGCTGATTGTTGCAGCGTGTTCATAGAGGAGATATGGTATAGCGACTTCTGCATACTGTAAGCTGGCAATAACGTCTATGTGAAGAACATCGACGCGCTCTCACGTCTACTTCATTTCTTAATAGGGCCTCATGTCTCCTTTATATCTTTATAGGGCCTCGAGATCATCAACCCCAACGCAGCGGAGAAACACATTCAAGAAATAAACAGCAAGTACTTCGCCAACAGGGCGTTCAAGCGCGTAAAGCAAGACGCCGACGCCAAGAAATAAAGTTTATGTCACGTCACCTTAAACCGGGCACTCGTCTGTGCTCGTATCTCAGTACAACTGGCAGCTGTAGCTTCCGCGTACTGGATGTGCACAATACTTATGGTTCCCTGAACGTGTGCTCCTACGTCTATATAGCCGGGAGTCAGCACAAGTTTGTCACATTCGTGATCAAACCTGAAGGCGCCTGTCAAAGTGTGGCGTTTAAAACAAAAAAAGGGTGAGCTTTCTGGTAGCTACTACGACTCTCTATGTTTATTGTCATTTACCACACTTAAGCTAGTACGGAATAGGACTAGAAAACGAATATGACAGTACAAGGCAGGCTTAACAATATATATAACTCGCAGTCTCACCAGTGTACTCCTTCTCACCACTCGAATCGGCTAGCTTGATTGTGTATGTGGTGTCCACGTGTACGACTGTGTCTGGTAGGATGGTGTGGACAAACACATGGCAAGTGTGCGAGGTCAGCGGTGTGTGCTTAGTCTCTAACCAGAATACGATACCCTTCGATGCTTGACTCCCGGACGTACTGAATCCATGTGTGTGCTTTAGTCGCAATGTGAGGCGAGATCCATGATCGAGGTAGCCATTTCGACCGTGGAGCGTCATGGTGAGCTTTTAGTTCAGATGTGTTTCTGAGTGCAAAAATATATCAATATACATAGGCGAAAGAAACGACTGACATATAGGTCTGTTACGCACTGCTGCCCTGCGTGTACACAGCAGCGATTATTGATGGAAGTGATGAACGCGTTTAGAATTGCGTCATCAGATGAGAATGCGAGTTTCACCCCAACATGTATCTTTCGAGTAATAAAAATCCGTGCAGATCCCACTATCTCAGATTGTTGCCCTTTTATGTCACAACTATACCGCACTGGCTTCTGATATGCACTATATCATTAATTTCCACTCATTTTGTTATGCTGAGCCCAATCATACCTTTATAACAATACAGTCATATCACCAAATCATTCTGCGTCTGTGCACGTAGAAGTTGGGATGTACGCCGTTTATCCCCATTAATTCAATCAGATTATTTCACGGTCGTAAATGACACAACACAGATCTTAATAATAAATGCACTCATGGCAGTAGCGAACTTCGCCACGGCATAAGTTCATGACAACCTAGTTGCGCTGCGGGTAAAGCTCTTCAGCAACTTTCGCCTCTATATTTTAGAAAACAATAGTTCCATTCATCTTTGGTTGTGCTTGTCGGAAAAGATTTATTAAGCTTCTGCCGCGTTTCGCTTCGTATCTTTTGACAGTAATCGTGTATATTTGAAAGCCATACGCCAAGTACTAAGATCCGAGACTCCAAATGCCTGACCTTTTAGCGCCTGGAGTACGTCACTGGCACGTGGACGTTTTTTAGGCTTAGCATATAGCATCGACCTGAGTAGTGTTAATAGGCTCGAACCACCAACCACAAGAGGACACTGCGCCAGCATCACTTTTATATATCTCTCCGGCGTCAGTGAAAGCTCTTGCCACGGCATCGTACCGAAAAGCATGGTGAAGAAGAGTATCTGCGAGGTGTGCACAGGTGTTTGTGAGTATAAGATATCGAATCGATCGAACGCGGAAGGGAGAATCTCACAAATCTCTATTAAAGATAATATGTGTATGTAATCATTGGTGGCTGTCGCGCTATTTTAAATTCTTTGCGCCACGTGACTTACCCCACATGACCATACATCGGCCCTCAGCAGATCAATGGGAGTGTTGTCGGTCCCATCATGTACCATATTCCATACCTCTGAAGTTGATGAGATACGGTGTAAAAATATTAATCACTAGAGTTTCTTAATTAGATGTCGGTATAAATAGCGAATCTACTATTAAAAAAGATGTATGCGCTCACCTGGGGCCATGCTTGCGGGTGATCCACATGCGATTTGTGCTTCGAATACATTCCCGACGTGACAGGCCAGTCCAAGATCAATAAGCTTGACGGAGTTATTCAAATCATCTATTACAATGTTGGATGCCTTAATATCCCTGTGAGCACAATTATGTATATTTTGAAAGAGCGATAAGTGTTAAAATTGAGGTGAGACCTAGCATAGACACTCATTCTTGGAATTATGAAATGTTAACCAATTACAAAAGGTGTCACATGATGCGGCAAATATGCATGTGCGACTTATCTGCCTAGGTCTTACCATACAACTCATATTTAATCGCACGCAATTAATAATGCACTAGTGATCATACCTGTGGGCAATGTTGTTTGTGTGCAAATAATCGACGGCCTCCATCACATGTGTCATATACCGCATGACATCGCTATGTTTCATTTCATGCATACTTTGTATTTTTTTCCCAAGATCCTGCCCTGGTATATACTCCTGGAGGAGAACAGCTTCGTTATCACTATATTTGATGTAGCCATAACCCCGAACCAACCGTGGGTGTAGCAAGTTGCAAGTCATTCTTATCTCAGCTGGCAGAGCTGATTTGCTGACATCCTGCAGTACAGCACATGAGATCAAACCTTTAATATACGTATCAAAAGTTAATAAACTAATCGTGTGATGCTAAGATTAAATTGAAACAATACATTCCCGTATAGAGGTACGACGTGCTTTACCTGATTTAGGAGTTTGCCGACAAGCAATCCATCCGTAGGAATATGTTTCAGTATAAAGATACCACGCGCCGGCGAGTCTCCTATTGCTTCGATTTCTATCAGGGAATTAGAAGATTGCAAACGAAATTAGTTAAGAAGACGGAATCAGATGAGCTTTAAGTGGAAATAGCAATCGGCCTTCACCTACCACTGAAGTCGGCTGCCACAATCTCGTTGATCGTGGGTGGTAAGCTCCTGCCTTTCACCGTCTCTTGCACATGAGAGTTCAATAGCGTGCGCGACGTTATTCGAAGCATGACTGTACAATCGAATGCTAGCTGCCAGAGTAGTAATGATTGAGAGTTCTGCCATCTCACACAGCATAAATCTATTTATACGAACCCCAACCTCCAAACTTTTGGTGTTACAAGGAATACGTTGTCATGACGCAAAAGATTACGATCGATGGTTATTTAAAAATAGTACAAACCCACGGGTGACTCCGGGGAATCTCTCACTCCTCAGAGGCTCAGTCCTCACTTTGATTTATTGATTCATCCAAAATTCAGCAGTCAACACTCAACACACACAGGGGGTCAAGCCGTCAAGACTTAAAGAGTAGTCTACGGTCTATGGGCAATTATGAATTACTCAACATAAAATGATGGAGTACACGGAATCGATCTAACCATCTGATTCGTAGAACACTTTGGGTTGCTTGGCACATTTTAAAATAGTTATAAAAAAACTTTTCAGTTTTTACTGTTGCGTGTTTGAACTTTGAACTTTGACCACGGCCATGTCCTTCGGACAATAGTCCGATCACTTATTATTTTATTTCTTCTCTACTATTTAGAGGGTCAAGCGTTGACTGTTTGTCTTTTAGACTTTTGCAGTTTCAGTATTTTTTTTGTCATTTGTTTTTATTAAAAAAACCCTTTATATTTCTCATGGACTCTTGGTGGACCTTGTCTTCTTCACTTCTTGCCACTTGGGGTCTATCTTCTTATTAATATTTCTACAATTTGGTTTTTAATAAATAAAAGCTCGGTACATCACCGTACAACATACGCTGTACACCGCACTCAAACTTCTTATTGTTGTTGGTCCAGGGGGTCCGTTTCAGGCCAAAATTTGAACAGCAAAAGAGGTATTTAGACGAAAATCAGGCTATTTGGGCTGGGGCCCTGGGTTCTTTGCAGTAGTGTCGGAAGTGACCACACTAGACCTTTGGTAAAGAATGGTGAATTCGACAGAGAGTATGTGACGAATTGCCTGTTGTTAGGCGGTGAGACAGATGAGAGGTACGAGCGTGGAACCTCTGGGACTATTTCTATCAGCCCTGCCCTAGTATATATACACCCCCAGGCGATTAGTCTATTCCAATGTCGTTTTATTTCGGGCATTCGGTTGTAACCTTTATTAAAGTGCTATATATAGACAATTCCCTATCGCTTGGCACAAGTAGCGCCTATGAGAAGTCCGAGCCTCAGCAAGCTTTATAGCATATATATATATACAGCACTACATACTTCTTTATTATACTGCCTTTGTAACTTCCAAATTCTCGATTTATTGAATTGACCGTATACGTTCGCTATGGGAAGTATTGGTTTGTAGTCAGACTGCCTCGGTTCGCTTCATTTGGACATCGATATTTTGTAAAACACTAAAACCCTGCCCCTACAAGAGCGTGAGAACCCCTTTCAAAAGTCTAACCCCCCCCAAAGACAAAAGGATATAGGGGTGCAACACTATTTTTAGTGAAACGTGAACGATGTACATTATTTCGTTTCCAATTTTAATTCTAAAGGTGAGTGGGGAAGACTATACACTGATCTACACACACACCCCACAGTATATATATATACATACACATATATCTATCCAAAATCGTGTGATGTAATTTATCCCACCGCCACTCCCAACGTTCAGTCAGTGATCCACGCATGTACACGCAGTATCTAGTACACACGCGCAGATATACAGAAATACAGCTAAGCCGAGTGCACTCCGCTCTACTCCATCTTAGGTCTCAGAGAACCGGTCATTCTGAAGATCACAGAGTCTTGGATAGGCATGGTGGCCTGGGCCCAAATCGTCATCCACACCATCGCAATTAGGAACACACTCAACCAGAAGAAGATGTTGAAGAACACCGCGTGGTTTGGCCCGTACTGGCAGTAGTCGGTGTCGTAATCGGCGCCTTCAACCAGGCAGTCACTGTAGATGAATGGAAAATAGATTAGCGTATGCGAGTATATGGAAGATAATCGAGCGTATATATAGAAACATATGCATAAACGTATACTTGTAATATATATATATATACACATGCACATATGTACACACACATACCATGGTATATAAATATGCGTGTATTAGTAATAGGATGCGCACATATACATATACATACACACATATATATATTTAAATACTACATAGTGATAGTGTTAAACTTACGCGTAGCTTGATGGGTACTTGGGGTCGTCTTCCTGGCGTCTGTTGCGCTTGATAGGGTTATAGAACGGACGACGAGCGGACACAGGCACATCTGCACGCTGACTGAGGGTCAGCATGCTCACCACTGCAGAGTGTGTGTAGTGCTGTTCAATCAAGGACACCATATCCTCAATGAACTGCAGGTATACCCGCTTAGCCTCTGTGTACTGGGGTGAGTTGGGGCCATATTTGGCCCGCACCTCGGGCAGAGAGGACAGGGCAAAAGAGAAGAAATCGGGGTGCGAGGCAACGGCCTTGATGCCTGACACGCGCATTGCCGAGACAAGCACTTGTTGAATCGCGTAGAGTTCGGCGAAGAACCTGAAGTCCACCTAAGGGAGCATAGAGTGGACATTTTGTCGGCACTTCAGGGTTGTACGCACAACACACTAATTTCTCGCATGGGAATTAGTTGATATCACGATCATATACTGCCTCAGCGTGTCAAAGGTTGTGCCAGCGGGGCTGCTATGCACTAGTATGTGTGTATACGTGTATAGCAATATTAAGTACATATAGGTAATAGTGCATGATGCACATATACGTATATAGCAATGGAGGGTACAGATTCCCAAGTTGCGTGATGCCCGCCCACACGCGAGGTACGTATATTAGAATCAAAGCAGACGATGCATTTTCCAACCCAGATAAAGCACGAACACATCGCCGCGGGAAATCATCTAATAGGAACACCGGCAGTATATCTTGGACGGCTGACATCTGCATCATACCTTGTTATCTAGGTTGAACGTCTTGTCATCGGCCGCAATGTACTTCCCTTTAAACTCGGGTAGTGCTTTGGCTATCGCCTTCTTACTCAGTTTAACGTCAGCGAGTTCATCACTGCCTTCTGCATGCGAGAAACCGTTCTTGTCGCCCAAGGTGTAGACAAAACTCTGCGAAGGTCTCGCTTCGTTAACCTGGAAATAGCGTGAATGTGTGTTAGTGCAAAGATGTATAACGATACATTGGTATAATAGAATAATGATATATATATATACACACACACACAAAAACAAACCGACTAACGTATACATATCAGTACGCAAGTCAGGAATAAAGCGCAACCATCAATTACCCCAGACACCCGCAAAATAACGGAATAATATATGCGCTTTAATGCACAACGAACTCTGCCAGACTAAACCTTGTAATGGTTGGCAGAAACAAACATCCGAGCATCAAAGGTACAGTGTGAGTGGTGTAAAAAAATTGCATATCAACCAAGCTAGTCTCTACAAGCTCAGGATTCCCAAGCCAATAGCAGTCACGCAACACATGCGCCAACGCACGACCCAACAGCAGACACGGACACACAAGTCAAAACAAAACACAATAGCAAATGTAACAGCAAACATGTAGCATATAGGCAAACATGCCACACACCATCCAGTGTGTAGAGATTGTCTCAGACCACGCTCGAAGTACACTGCCTCGGCCTTTAATTCATTATATTCTAATTATGACTACTTAGCTTCAACTTCAATATACATATATATATACAAATACACACACATACACACATACGTACACATATATACAATTACTCTCAAGCATGTACAAAAAGTTCGTTACTAGACACCGACACGTGCATATTCATTCATTCATTTCTGAACCCCAAACCTCAACCCAGAAACATATGCAGTGACTGATTTAGACACTTCGAAATTGGGAGCAGCAGGATGTAGGATGTAAAAAGTCCGAAGACGAACCAATTTGGATACACAGCTAAACTGAGACTGAAAACGCATTAGTAATCGGCAGAGACACAAACACACGGAAGGAACGAGTACCATCGAAAACTGCTGACCGTACAATACGATATGTCGTATGAATACAGGAAAAATATTTAAAACAGGATACGTACGTTCCCATTCCAGAAAAACTGATCCACAACCAACTACCTCTCCAGTTAGCGAGACTGATCCATCAGACACACCTCGAAGTTCGCAGCGGCAGCGTGTGCAAACTGCTCGTCACCAGACACAGACACAGTGACTGAGTGGTCGAACATCTGAGCCATGGCATCAGCCAGATTGCCGGCCAACGCGCGCGTGCTGGGTGTGATCAGGCCGTGCTCAACGCCTGTGTGAGTAGTGATGGGGAGGGTACTGAATGAATGTGCTAGATGCTCAGCAAGTATGTACATGTTATAGATATGTACGCCATACTCAAACACCTGTATATGCAGTGGTTGAAATAGTGCTGAATGAAGGTTCCGAATGTGCATCGCACTGGGGATCCGCAGAAAACAGAATGAAGGCTCTCAATCAGCAGCAAGTATTTGCATGTATATGAATATAACATACTCTGACACGTGTGTGTTTTGAGATTGGCTTAACACTGAGTGATGATTCTGAGATATCAGCATGTAGTACATGTATGCGAATATATGTGCTCAAAATAGAAAAGCTAAACTCGGCACGTGTATGTTTTGTGGCCAGCTTAGTACTGGTGTAATAATATAAATACTCAGTTAGCATATGCATTGTACCGAACTTCGCATGATACTAAAACGAGGTGTACGTGCTTATAGGCGTTATGCCCAACACCTGTATGTAAAGAGGTTGACTTGTAACGGAATGGTTGTATAGTATACATATGTGCGTACTATAGGCAGAGTGTACGGATCGATAACAGTATTGATATAACTTCGCATAACTATACAATATCGCGTTATATATCTGAATCACGTACGGGTTTTGCTCCATTTATATACACCCATAGATCAAATGAACGTTACGAATAGAAACTCACACAATAGTGGGGAGAAATATGCTCACATTCGCGGTATACGCTTACATCGAATCATATATCAGAAGAAACCATTGTAACAAACTCCCAAAGCAAGATCACGTGTAGAAAAATACACATACACATTCTTTAGCATACAAACATACATAAATACATGAAGAAACCATTGTAACAAACTCCCAAAGCAAGATCACGTGTAGAAAAATACACGCACACATTCTTTAGCATACAAATATAAATAAATACATATATACAAACAAACAAACAAACAATACATAATAATAATTTCTATATACACGTATACATGAAAAATCATACCCTCCTTGCCCACCCACATTCGCCCGGGAATGAGGTGCTCGCTGGGGTAGCGTCCAGTGAGCATACTCACAATAGTGGCGATAGAGTCCATATTCTGAGTTTGCGCAATCTCTGCGTATGACACCTTCTTTGGCATATCTGTAGGCGAATCTTCCAGACCATCCACAGTGAACACCACTGACGCGGACGGCAGCGATAACGGGTTCACAGAAGCTTGCGCTTGTGTCTGGAAGATGTACGATCACAAAATAAAAATAGACAATTCAGAGACTAATATATATATATAGACACTATATACACATACGTGCGTGCATGTATGTTTATATATTCGTACGCGTCATAACAAAAGGTACAATAGGACATCTGATCAAACTGAATATATATATATATACATACACACATACATTTTAAAGACATCCATATATACTATATAATATATAGATTGCATATTTATTTGTGTGCGTGTATGTATGTATATATACCCGTACGCGATTTTGCCATGCTATTCACAGTGAACACCACTCACGACACAAACAGCAGCAACAACGAGTGCACAGACGCTTGTTCTCTTGTCTCCGTTAGACAGCGCGGAGCAGTACGTAAATTTAATGAAGAAGGTCAAAAATAAGAACTGGTGTAGTTGTATAGCTTCATTTTACAAAAGGGTCATAGAATAAAGGAGACATGGGTTAGAAATTAAGTATATCCGTACGCATTTTTGTTTGTTTGCTTTACCGTTGATACGCTTAAACTAACCTCACCGTCGGGCGCTTCAAACTCATGCAGTCTTTTGTAATAGGAAATACTCAATCAAACGTATATGGGGAAGTCTGCGCAAAACACACACACACACACATATATATATATCGATATTTTATGCATATATATATGTATACTTTCTAGAAGATCCATATATATCTCGGAAGTCCCAACGCCCGAAAAAGAGTGGCACTCTTCCATGGCGACAGCGTGCATTTGCTTGTAACTTATAACACACATACGAAATCACAAGAACTCTTATAAGAGGAAGCTACAAGGCTCAACACAATACCTTGTGTGAAAGAGAGGGCATTCCCATAGACTGACTCAGGATATCAGCCACATCGGTGACGTCGAGAGCTTTGCTTTGGTCCTTCACCTTCAAGCTCTTGGGGGCCGACAGAACGGACATAGAATCTGCGCACGGGCACAGACAAATTTATCAATATTTGTGAAATAAAACGGTTCCAACATATATACATTATTTATACGATTTGTGAATGTAAATATGAAATATATTTTAGATGTAGTGACACAATATATATATATATATATATACTGTATAAAGAATATAGATAATGAAGAATACTTTTACTCTCTATAACTGATTTCTGATGCAAATCTGCTGGGAATCACGCGCATTCATGTAACACTTAGGCAGATACCTGCAACACTGATGAGTGGAGTTATGAATAGAAGTTCTTCCAATATGTCAAATATACGGATACATGGGGATAGAACGACACATCCATACATGGTTTAGTAACATATATGGAAGAAGGCGTGACATATACATATATATACATTTATATATATATACACGTATGCATACGAATACAGATGGATATAAGTGTATAGTTTTCATGTACAGATTACATAAACTTGTATACAACAATATATATATATATATATATATATACATATACATATACATACACATACATATATACATGCACATACACACACACACACACATATATATATATACATAAATAAATGTATATATATATATATATATATATGTTTATACGCTGAATGCATGCGTAAATATTTCGACATATATATACATATATATGCATATATGTATACATATACACACACAGACATATACTATAAAAATATTTAGATATATGTATATATATATATATACACACACACACATATATATACATATATACATATATAAATACATCTATACAAACAAACACACACACGTATATATATACAAATATATAGGCAGTATGAACACCCACACAACCACACACACACACATTCTCTCTCTCTCTCACACACACACACACACTCTCTCTCTCTCTCACACACACACATATATATAAATATTATCTAAACATGTATTTAAAAAGATGACCTACGCTGTTAAATATAGATGTGTTATCATTTGATATTATACAAATGGGGTAGTCAGGCACAAAGTTTACAGACGATTCGTTGTCCTCCATGTCAGGTTGAAATAGACAACAACAGATCTCATGCTATTGCTTTAATACTCACCTGCGGTGACAGAAACTAGGCCACATGTTGCCACCAATAGGCACGCCAATGCACGTACCATTCTCTAGTTGTTTGTACGTATATTCGAACTCACAGATATGCTATATGTATGTGTGCAACGGGTGTATACACTATACTGGGTTCCTGGTGAAATTCCCTATGAAATGTAGCGTTGTGTTTGTTTGATATTGTAGTAACCTCTCACTCTCTCTAGATCATTTGATTCTATAAATAATTGTTGACTAAATATGGTGAGTACCTACATTTCGGACATTTTTGAGAAGCCGTGTTGTCGCAATTGCAAACCAACTCTCTGGTAATATGAAGGTACAAATATTCAGATAATTTCCTACACATTGTATTTGGATGTTTTAAACTTCAAAGATGTTCTAAACTAAAAAGAAGCTTTCCCGCTCTCTGGTCTTTTTTTAACAAACGAGGGGGTGTCAACTGTCGCGGGATAGATACATATAGCAACGGAGCATGTATATTCCGTGTATCACAACGTTATAGTATATGTGCATATATAGTGTTGTATGTATTCGCATGTATGTATAGTGTCTAAATACACCATACATTATGACCTATTGGGATGATTCTAGGCAATTTATACGCACATACTTGCCTGATTTTCAGCGATTGATTCGTGAATCACGCACGGACGAAGAAGAGACAAGCACGCACAACTACGCATTCATTCGCCTCGTGTCGTTTGTTGCGTTTGTTTTAGTTGTGCACAAGACCCGACCCCCTACAATCACTGCACATTGAATATTAGACACTGACCACACTCTTATATAATGATCACTATCGGTATACATAGTCAGCTTTGTGGGCATCCACATGAAGTATTATGCTGTGTGGTTAAGTATCAATTAGCTCACAAACAGCAGTCAGTTCCTTTCCTACAAGACATGAGGGCAAGTTAGCAACCAAAACAAACAATTGCCTGGTATAAAGATACCAAACTGGGCTCGATTTACCCGTGTGCACACATTCATGTATCGAGACTGAATAGCACTTGATGCAGACAATTCTGTGCTACAGACAAACAAGAAGTATCCAGCACATTGCCTAGTCTATGTACCGACGCTCTGGCGAACGAGCTACTAGTGGCATTGCTTTGCGTGAACGCATGCGCTACTGTACACGACGAAGGATGACATCGATACAACTATAACCCAGGAAGCTATTCATGAGCTGCTAGCTGCCTCGCACTTTGTGAGTGACCACGATGCTGTCTGACAGATTGATGCACTCGATAGTGGTACGCACTCAGTATACTGATATATCAATGCCAAACAATGACTTGAGCTATGCCAGTCATTAATACAAACCAGAAAAATCCAGAAGTAAGGTAGTGTTTATCTAGATGAGTGGATGTCTGAATTGCTAGGTACGCCGCGCCGTGTGAGGGCCCCGCCCGCGACGCTATTTTCGGGATGATATTGAATTCAAAAGAGTGGACCACAAACCGAATCTGGATTCCTGGCAATTCTGAATACAATAAACCGATATATGTCGATTTGGAGATGTATCTGGTATGCTGTTTTGAATTAGGAAAAGAGTGACTGGTTCTACCGGCTCGAAGTAGGAGGTAGCCGCCATCTAAGTGTTTGAACTAATTTTCCGTGCAACTAGCAACTCAAGGACATCACTGCCAGACCAGCAGCAACAATCAGAGAAAATGATGCAATGTGCGTCAATACGTGTTATGTAAAGCATTATTCCAGGCCACAATACAACAAGGAGAGTTGTCGAGATAGCTTTTTTGGTAAGTCGAAGTGATTAAATTCCTAATATAGGGTCATGCTCCCCCGACCATAGTTAACCTGATTTAATAACAGATGATTAAACAATTGGTTGAGACTACTACTGCAAGCCATGGTACTTCAATGTACGACGATATATAGTATATATACTACGATATATAGTATGAATACGACGTCATATAGTATGTATACGCCGATATCGCGCATGTATATGACAAAGTATGCGGAATGTATTTGAGGATATGTGGTATATATATGGTATGAATACGTCAATATAGAGAATGTATAACATCATACAGTATGTACACGAGGACATGCAATTTGTACACGACAACATACGGTTCCTATTCGAAGTTTCAAAGATACGCGACAAAAACGTGTCAAAAATTGGGTCAACTGCAAGTACAAGAACGGAGGCATGCTTTCGCAAGAGCCACCTTCAACTATACCACTAACATATCTATACTTCTGCTACTTTTAAAAACTAGCAATGGATCACTTGATCAGGTGACAGTTTTCTGCAAAATTTCTATGCACCGCTCCAAATAACTTACGTACTTCTATTTACTCAGTAGCTTAAGTACTTCTATTTATTCAATAACTTACGTACTTTTCTCTCTATTTATTTCTAGCTTACGCACTTCTTTCTCTACTTATTCAATATCTCGCGCACCTTTATCTCTATTTATGATCCTACTGCACATTGTTGTTTTTGAGCTATTGGTGTGTTACAGTGGCACTTTGAAATTCGGCTCGAAGCTCGAGGCCCGTCACCGCTCCCAACAACTTAAGTACTTGCATATTTATTTATTCAATTTATCTACTTCTATCTCTATTTATTCAATAACTTACGGATTCCCATGCCTATTCATTAAAAAAACTTACATGTTTGTATCTTTTTGTACAATATACGTACTTCTATGTCTATTTATTCAATATCTTACGCACTTCTATCTCTATGTATGACCCTACTGCGCAGAATTGTCATTGAGCTATTGGCGTGTTAGATGTGCACCTGAAAATTCGGCTGAAAAGCTCGAGGCTCTTCACCGCTCCCAACAACTTAAGTACTTCTGTATCTATCTATTCAATAGCATATGTGCTTCTATCTCTATTGATCCAAGATTGCATTTCCATCTCTTTTTATTCAGCAACTTACATTTTTTTCAATCTATTTATCCAATAATTGACGTACCTCTATCTCTACTCATGCAATAACTTCTATCTCACCCATGCAATAACTTGCGCATTTTTATGACGCCACTGTACATATTTATATTTGAGCTATCGATGTATTAAAGAGGCACATTGAAATTCGGCTCGATTTCTGTAATGTGTTTTGTGTCACATATTTGCTTGCTATTAAGTTTAATTCGTATTTCCTACAGTAGGCTCTATACATACGTCCTGGACAACATACCAGGCCTAGTACGCAGGCTTCAACTGTGGTGTTCTATTACAACTACATAGTACCGATGTGTGCGGTGTGATAAAAAATCAAGCGGAGAGCACAGCAGCAGCCAACGTAATGACAGCACTTGTAAAGATACCAAAGCCCATAGTAACACTTCCGGTATTTGTATTCCCGTTGCCTGGTGGAACAGACTCTGTGGCAATACCAGTGGCAGTCGATGTTGGCGCAGCGGTATCTGTAGTTCCGGTCACTTCTCCAGAAGTTTGAGTAGTGGAGCCAACACTGGAGCTGCTTGGTTGTACACTATCAGTCACAGTCGCATCTGCCGAGGAACTGGCGGCGTCTGCAGTTACTTGATAGAACTGTGCGCCTACGAGCGGTACTTCGACTAGGGTACACACCCCCGCCGTAGTGGTGGATGTGAAGACCTGCTGTGTACAGCCAGTATCACTGAACACCGACAGCGTGTACGTATCATCGAGGTTCTGGACGAAGGTCGACCAGGTTGCTGTATGCGCAAGCCCGAAATCAAATCATGAGTGGGTGCGTTACAAGCTTAGAATATAAAAGTAGAGGGCCCTTTTGCACAGATTTCAAATATACATATATTATTCAAGGAGGTTATCGAATCAAGCACTCATATATAAATAAAATCTATCAGAAATAGTATCGAAATGCGGTTGCTTTGGTATCATAAAAATCCAAACCCAAATTTAGGTCCAAATCCATACGTATTGGGGTGGTGCCTGCCACGTCGCATGCGGGTGGGGCTCCATTAGGCGAAGGCGTTCCTACTTTGCAATCCGCGGGAGGAAACTGACAGTTGGGATCGGCCCCGAAGCAGACCTGTTCGCCCAGCGTGGCGGAGATGGTACACAAAACAAGTGTGGTTAGCAGTAGTTGCATGGTTTTCCTTTGGGTGACGGTTTGGATATAGACGAGGAATTAAGTCTGCGGAAGTGATGTGTGGGTTAGGAACTATGATTTTGGTTGGTGGTCTTATCAAGCTTGTATGGTGTTGTGAAGTTGTCTATGCTAGTTGGTTTTATACTGCACATTCCACGGTATGAAGGTGTCAGCTTAGATCACGGATCTGAACTGTGAAATAAATATATTCGTGTCATGTGTACATGCAAAGTGGTGTCTGTTCGTCGAGTTCGTGCCATGCGCACACAAGAGTTCATGTTGGAATAAAAGTTAGACATGTTGTATAACGCCACAGGGAGTGTTGGCAAGAGGTATGACTCATGGTACAATCGAGTCAAGTTTTATTTGCAGATCTTCTTAAGAACCTATCATAGGTGACATTGGATCGATCATATATGTTGGGGAGAAGCTCGTTGATTCAAATATATAAATACACTTTGACAGGTGAATATCACCTGTGACCTGTGTATAATATAAATACATACATAGACAATACATACATTCTAGAGAAAAGCCAAGTCAAGTATACTTTCTTCTTTTTTTGTTGCAAAAAAGTATAAACCTCAAAAAAAACAAAAAAAAATGTCAAAAGCAAAGCCCAATGCATAAATACGTAAAATTGGAATGTAATTCACGAAAACGTATAATGATTTCCTGATGTTTTCTGCTTTATTAGATTAACACCTCAGGCGAAAACGTAATTATGGTGCCACGCCGCACCGGTGGTCTGCTGCAACTTGTATTTATTTATATAAAGAGAGTTAGAGACGTACTATGTAACTAAAATATTTACTAGTAGTAGAGAAACATACTGGAGCTCTCACTACTAGTAGTAGAGCTTAAAAGTATTTAGTAACCCACCTCTCTTATTAGTCTTATTAGAGTAAATGCAATTGTAGCCGCGTACGTGGTTCTCACTCTAAGAAAAGATCTAAGTAGTGTAATCTATATATATATATATATATATATATATATATATATATATATATATATATATATATATATATATATATATATATATATATATATATATATATATATATATATATATATATATAGTACTATATATA